ATTCATAGGGAGTCGGACACATCTACCACGGCTCCGGGCCTATGTATGCCGTGATTGGACCCCAATCACCACCTGTGGCGGACACGGAACTTCAACTGCTATAGAGACTCCCGTAAGGCCGAGGCCACGCAATGAGCAGAAAAGCGGCGAGCGGCTGAGCGGTGAGCGGCTTAAAATTAAAACATATAAAACACTGTTGAAGTGGCCACGCACTGAGCAGCATTTCTGAGCGGCTGAGCGGATACTGTAGCCGTTTCAACAGCTACCTGTCCAGACTCGACCCCAATATCCCTCATGAGTGTCCGGCATGTGGGGACTCCCCGCACGACATCAACCACCACTTCAAATGCCAGCTCAATCCCACTCTATTAACACCCCTCTCCATTTTGCCCGACCTCGTTGAAAGTGCCCGTTTTTTGGACCTACCGTTAGTTGAGCTGGACGACAACGATTAATGGACAAACCGAAATAGGCGCGGCTTAGAGGTGCCGCTTCAACAACAATAACAACGAACCACAATAGTATTACATTGGGTCTCGGAGCCCTTAAGCGTGCCTCCAACCTAAGGCATGTTTGCCATCCCCTGCAGAGGGTATCGAACCCAAGTCTAACCACTCAGCCACAGCGACCGCACCAAAAATAAAAATAAACTGATTACGTTAACTTCAGCATGTATACGGCACATTTTACCTTCAGTGTGCAACTGTAGTCAAGTTCAATGCGCTCGCGTGCTAACAAACTTCAACTCTTCAATTTATTTTGTATACATTTTTTATTACATCACTTCAATGAATTAGTTTTTGCTGTCCATCCCACATAACAATGGAACCGGGTTCGCTTTTGGCTGCGGGGCGTTATTAAAATTTTCGATTTTTTCTCAGTTGTTTAAAAAATATTGACTTTGGCTTCTGTGCACAATTACTATCTATTGTGTCTTCATTGCTCTTAATAACTGCCTTATTTATTATTTTTCGCCATATATCGCCCGACAGTAAATTTTACACAAAAAAAAAATAATATATTCGCGAAACTATACGCAAAATATAGTTAAACTGCGCTTGTTTTTCTCTCTGACGTCAGGATTTTTTCAAGAGGACCCCAAAATTTCACAAATACGATTAATTCAAAAAATTATTTAAAAAATTCATTGCAATGTAAAATAAAAACGTGGATGTCAAAGACAAGACAAAAGTCTGTAAGATTAGAAAAAAAATTAAATTTTTTGGTGCATAAGGACGAATGGGCATGGAAAATGTCCTTCCATAATTTTGTCCTTGAATATCCAGAACATTTGCAATATTTATTTTTTAAAAAATTATGTATTAGGACTAATGTACACACGTCCATTTCCTCGAATTTCGTCCTCCTAACTTTATCAACTTAAAAAAAAAAATAAATCAATATCTGTTTGTTCTTGCAAACCAAAAAACTTTAATGTTTTTAAATCCTACACATTTTTTCTTAAATTTTTTTTATTTGAATTAATCATATCCTTGAAATTAGATTTCAAAGTCCTTTAAAAAATCCTTCCGTCTGAAAGGAAAAACTAAAAACGCAGTTTTTCTATTTTTGCCCCAAAGTTTCGTGAGTATATTGACTGTTTCGTGTGTTTTGATTCTTCTTTGTGTTTGTCGCATGGTGTATTCATGACACTAAAAACTTGCAAATATTTATTTCCATTTAGCATCCGATTTTTTGTGTTAATTTTTTTATGCTAATGCAGAATTAAGTGTATTTCGATAGCTCACAAAACAAATGTTTGCTTTTCTGGCTTGTGTGATTGCATACATATATATATGCATTAGGCTGGTCCTTAAATGTAGCAAGCAAATTTTTATTTAATTTAAATTTTGGTTTCGATCGGGAACGGGTATGGAGTGGCCACTCCAATCGGGACCAAAATTTATATGTTTTTATGTGCGAAACGCCTTAACCGTCTCCAATCGGTACCAAAATTTATATGCGATATTTGTGACCGTGGTATTATCGATTGAGGGGTGAGACTGAAAAAAATCATAAGTTTGAGTTTTTAAGGCCCACCCTCGTGTACATACGTAGGGTTCAAAAGTAAACCTTTTCAAGTTGATTATTTATAAATTGAAATTTGAAAAGCAAACTTTATTAGCACAGTCGAAGGCTAACTAAATAATAACTAATATAGGAACACCCCTGTAGTTCAATAAATAATTATCTTTCGAAAATATATTGTAATAATCTAATAATTTTAATTTGCTCGGTTTGGTATATATTTCAGCACCGAGATTGATTTGCAGGCCCTACATTTGTATGCCGTCTATAAAGACAAATTGTACACATACTTTTATGTATAAAAATTGAATGTATAAAAAAGAACGGCCTCTTTGGCTGCAGATTGCTGCAGTTGATTGGCAAGAAAATTAAGGCAATTTGAAGTTAATAAAAGCACATGAAATAAAAAAGGAGAACACGAGTTAGAGGCCGATTAAATCATATGAAAAAATCCAATTTAAAAGAATATATAGATAAAAGCATAAAAAAATCGTATTTTCTGCGAATGTGTGTTAACAGTTCAATGACGAAGAGTGAGGTTAGTGATGTGAAAGTTGAAAACATTAAATTGCCTGCGATATGTATATACATATGTAGGTACTTACTACACATGTATTTTCAAATACTAAATTATTAAAAAGCTGATTGTATGCATGCTTGAAAAATGGCTTTAATTTGTTTCCAAACGATATTTGACAAGGGATGACGGAAAGTCGTTCCATAATACATCATAGCCCTACCCTGTCGGGGAAGGAGGAAGGGTTAACCAAAAAAACCGATTGATCGACTTTTAACTGGTTAAAAAAAAAAGTTTTACCTTCGTATCGAATAAAATTTACACATCACTATCTACTTGGTTGAAAGGTGCCTATGTACATTTACAAATTTTTATACTTATTCCCATTTAATATGTTTGTATTGGAAAGGAAATCGTAATAAAGCAATGAATGCAAAATAATAATCTTTGCACTCGTACGTGAGCGCAGCAAAAAAAAGAATAACAGAAGAAGAACTATCTATATGTGTTCTTGAAATTGCAAAGAAATTTAACACAAAAGAAGTAACCAGAAATCAAAGATTTGTTTTTGCTGCTTTTATTACAGAATACCGTTGTACTTGTAATCGCTCAGAAATGCACATACTTACGTACATAAGTAAGTGCAAAAATGCTCTTTTTGGTAATTTGTTTTTTTTTTTTTGGTTACGTTTAAGATTGCAAACATCCGTTCTACACAGCAACATAGCAATTTTTGATGTTGTTTTTTTTCGTGAAAAAAAAAATTATATTATAAAAACTCATATAATATATGCCATAATATGAATAGAAGGTATATATGCAAGAATTTTGGTGCATAAATATCGCTGCATCACTGAAATGGCGCAGAGCACACTTCAGTGCTGAATGAAGGTGGATGCAATTGGTAGACATTTTTCGGAAAAACATATGCACAATTTTATATTAGGTTTTAGCTCTAAAGCTCTCAGAGTTTGGCCATTGCCTTTCGGTTTCGATGATTACACAGTGCGCCAAAAACCAAAAAATTTTAAAACACACGAGAAGATCAATATACTCATGAAAGAAGAGGCCAAATATAGCAAAACTAAGTTTCTAGTTTTTAGCTGTGACATCAGTTTTTTTTTAAAGACTTTGAAATTTCTAGGTTATGATTAGTTCAAAAAATTATTTAAAAATTCAGTGGAATGTAAATGACAACATGGGTAAAAAATTTACGAGAAAATTCTGTAGAACTGAAAAAAAATTGAATTTAATTAGATATACGAAATTCGAGGATGTGGCAGTGCACAGTGTACGAGTCCTTAGCTTATATTTTTTTTAAATCACTATTGGAAATTTTCGATTTTTGAGTATCTCAAGGAAAAAGTTTTAAAAGGACATTTTCAATGCCTATTCGTTCTTGTTCACCAAAAAAAAATATTAATTCTACAGAATTTTCTCTTTCGTTTGTTAACCATATTGCACATTGCACTGAATTTTTTAAATTCATGTTTTAAATTAATCGCATCTTTAAAATTTCAATAATTAATAACTGCATATTTGAAATTCTTATATTTTTTTTATCTTCTAAGCTTACTCACCATTTCTTGTTGCGCTGTTCGTAGCCGAGCTCGCTGAGCTTGCTGTGCTTGTTGCTGTTGTTGTCGTGNAACTCATATAATATATGCCATAATATGAATAGAAGGTATATATGCAAGAACTTTGGTGCATAAATATCGCTGCATCACTGAAATGGCGCAGAGCACACTTCAGTGCTGAATGAAGGTGGATGCAATTGGTACACATTTTTCGGAAAAACATATGCACAATTTTATATTAGGTTTTAGCTCTAAAGCTCTCAGAGTTTGGCTATTGCCTTTTGGTTTCGATGATTACACCGTGCGACAAAAACCAAAAAATTTTAAAACACACGAGAAGATCAATATACTCATGAAAGAAGGGGACAAATATAGGCAAACTAAGTTTCTAGTTTTTAGCTGTGACATCTGTTTTTTTTTTAAAGACTTTGAAATTTCTAGGTTATGATTAGTTCAAAAAATTATTTAAAAAATTCAGTGGAATGTAAATGACAACATGGGTAAAAAATTTACGAGAAAATTCTGTAGAACTGAAAAAAAATTGAATTTAATTAGATATACGAAATTCGAGGATGTGGCAGTGCACAGTGTACGAGTCCTTAGCTTATATTTTTTTTAAATCACTATTGGAAATTTTCGATTTTTGAGTATCTCAAGGAAAAAGTTTTAAAAGGACATTTTCAATGCCTATTCGTTCTTGTTCACCAAAAAAAAATATTAATTCTACAGAATTTTCTCTTTCGTTTGTTAACCATATTGCACATTGCACTGAATTTTTTAAATTCATGTTTTAAATTAATCGCATCTTTAAAATTTCAATAATTAATAACTGCATATTTGAAATTCTTATATTTTTTTTATCTTCTAAGCTTACTCACCATTTCTTGTTGCGCTGTTCGTAGCCGAGCTCGCTGAGCTTGCTGTGCTTGTTGCTGTTGTTGTCGTGGCTGCTGTTGTGCTCGTTGCAGTGTTTGCTGTGGTCGTTGCGCTGCTTGAAGTGAACTTTTTCTCATCGTCCAAAATGACAACGGGCACAGCGGTCACCAGTTGATAATTGGGCAAATGGCCTGAGGAAAATTGGTTAGTTTATAAAAAAATTTGTGCGAAAAGTGTTTGTTAACTAAGCAAATTTAATGATGACAAGCCTTTAAGGGGTAGCAAAATGTTTATGCTACGGCTTTTTATGCCGAATTTACATGAGGCATTGAAAGAATAAAAAATATTTGATATTGATACAAAATATTTGAAAAATGTCGTATGAACGCAAACTTTATCAAAATTGCCTTTAACGCAGCTACTATTTAATGTCCAACTTAGCCATAAAAATAGTTTGTACTTTAATGCCCAGTGTGAATCGTGCATTAGTGTTATTGTATTCCAAAAAATATTTTCGCCTGTTACCGAATTTCACCTAGGATACGACAAATTGAAATGAACTCAGTGATTCTTTTTACAACCGTGATGATAAAGGTATTTCTCAATGTTCAGCTTCTTAATAAAATTTTTGTAATTTTAAGCATAGTTCGAATCCGGTAAAATTAACAAAATATATCAAATGCATATGAAATGCTTTATAAAATAAAATTTATTATTTATAAAGCATTTAAAACATTTTTTTTTTTTGTAGGGATTTGCACTTTTGTTTTGATTTCTGGATTACGTGTACATCTCCCAATTTCTCAATTAGAAAGTACTTGGCAGTTTTATGGCTTACATACTGCTTTAAGACATTGGTAAATCGACCTTTAGAGCTTTAAAAATTGACTCAATATCTTTCGGTAATTCACTCACCATTTGACGCCATCAGCGACATTGTCGAACCACTGCAACTTTTCATTGATGTACAGCCAGCGCTGCCGCCACCTCCACCGCCTCCACCGCCAACTTTGTCACCATTCGGCATCAATGAAATATTGTGGCAACTCGCATTTCTACTTTTCTCGTAAATACAACTGCTCGACGACGAGGTGTTACGTTGCTGCGCTAAACTTTGCTGTCCGAGTTTTTGGTAATAATGTTGCACTGCTGCAATATTATTGCTGCTGCCACCATAGTTCACCAGCAGCGTATTGCTTTTACATTTATTGCCTCCGCCTGCACTGCCATTTTGAAATAGTTGTGCAGCGCTGTGATGCTGATGCTGCTGGTGCTGTTGCTGTTGCTGCTGTTGGTGATGGTGCAGCCGCTGTAGTGCGGCATCATTGAGCGAAGCCACCGAAAGTGCCGACGGTGTTTGGCGGCCACTACTGTTAACGCTGCTGAAGGTGTGCGTGTAGCCACCGCCAGCGGCAGGTGAATGAGTTTGTGTCGATGCGCCACTATTGCTGGGACTGAGTACACCGACGCTGGTGGGCGTGCGTGGTGTGGGTGTGTGGCTGGCGCTCAGATTGGTGCAGCTAAGAATCATAACGGGCGAATCATGCAAATCGGGAAGAGAGGATGAAATGGAAGTGCTGCCGGCGATGGTTTTGCTGAATTTGACGGCGCATGTTGCGGCGTTTGGGGTAGCCGTCGCCGTTGACGCAGCGGAATTAAATTGTTGCTGGTGTGGTGAGATTATTGCTGTGTTGTTGGTGCTGCTGCCAAATGTGTCGATAGACTTACGTGTCTTGAAGAGGCGCATAATTTATATTGCTATCCGGCTAAGGTTTTATGGACCAATTTTGTCAGTTGGTGGTTGTAGCAAACGAAGGCGGAGAGTTTGGCACTGCAAAAAAGGAATTAGAAAATAATTAGTAATTTTAAACAAAAGAATGTTAATTGCAACGTGTTTATTTATTAATACGTTATTAATGGATAGTATTATTTATAATACACATATAGATTATTTTTATTATTTTTAACTTTTAAATTATTCTTTATTCATATATTTAATTTAACAAATTATTACAAATCGAATTTACGCAAAAACCGAAATTATGCCAGCGCAAAATTTTGCCGTCACGCTTGAGAACAGTTTATTTCTAGTATTCCCTTTGCATTTTCACAGCACGTAGCAAGGAACACTCTCACCTTTTTTGCATTGAATAAATAAAAGAATCGAAAACAAAATTCTCATGAGAAAAAATGTTGCACATGCAACCAAGCATCAGCATCGGACGCGCCTGCAGTCATTGAACGACCTCAAACAGCATTCCCTCTACCGCTACCGCTCCTGCGCTTTGTTGTTCAAAGCCATTNTGAACGACCTCAAACAGCATTCCCTCTACCGCTACCGCTCCTGCGCTTTGCTGTTCAAAGCCANGTTGCACATGCAACCAAGCATCAGCATCGGACGCGCCTGCAGTCATTGAACGACCTCAAACAGCATTCCCTCTACCGCTACCGCTCCTGCGCTTTGTTGTTCAAAGCCATTTTTTTTTCATTATTAGGTCGATTGCTTCGCACCGCAATTCGGCGGTGGTAATGGACAGGAGGGCGGCCGGCCGGTTGCAAACCGCACTGGATCGTGCAATAGCTCGACATGCCACACTACATATATACATACACACACACCAAACACCAACATAGATTGTGGTAAGAATTTTGCGCTGCCACATTTTTGCTGCTTTAATTTTCATACTCAGACTACTTCAAGCATTTTGTTTTCTACTTGTTGCATGCCGCAAGCGCCACTGCACCGAAGCCAAGCTACCAGCCAGCACGTGCAATAATTTTTCTATGTTGCCGACAAGCGATTACTAGCCGGCAGCTGTGTGGAATGCAATTCTTTTTACACTGTGTTGGCAGCGGAGCAGGGGGGTAAGCATGCAGCATATGCCACAAATTATACTAGTTCTTTTATGCTCGCCCGCGCCGCTTTGGCAGTCTGCCTTAAGCATAGACTTGTTGTTCTGACTTAATTTTTAAATGTTGTGGTCGTTTTTTCATTATTATTATTTTTTATCTGAGGAATAATAAAAACATGAAGAAACACAAATAATTACGAATTTATTTCATGCTGCGACGCCTGTACAGGTACACACATACATACATATATAGGTACATATGAGGTGATATTTTCACACCTATTTGCGGCTGTTGGCATTCCCTTTCTGTTTGCTGTTGCAAATACAAAAAATTTATTTTTATGTGTGTATGTGGCTGGGTATATGTATNAAATGTTGTGGTCGTTTTTTCATTATTATTATTTTTTATCTGAGGAATAATAAAAACATGAAGAAACACAAATAATTACGAATTTATTTCATGCTGCGCCGCCTGTACAGGTACACAAATACATACATATATACATATGAGGTGATATTTTCACACCTATTTGCGGCTGTTGGCATTCCCTTTCTGTTTGCTGTTGCAAATACAAAAATTTTATTTTTATGTGTGTATGTGGCTGGGTATATGTATATGATCGTACATACGTATGTATGTATATGTGTATACGTGCTATTTGTTTCCTTTTTTCGGTCATGCTAGTCAAATAGGCTTTATTGCTGTGAAAAACTGGCAAGTCCGCATTCTTTTAAAGGTTGCCAACTTCAAAGTGAATTGCCCGTAAGCATGTATGTATTGTATTTGTTGCTGTTGTTTTGGTCTATATTATGCAGGCTAAAGTACCAGTAGGAAAATTAGACCTTTTATAAAACAGTGTACTTAAATTCTTGACAACGATTACAAAATCGGACTTTTTATAGTTTGGTATGAAGTTATTGAACTGTTCCCACTTTTGTAAACTAAATAAAATATGATTTCAGCAAATATTTTTCANCTGGGTATATGTATATGATCGTACATACGTATGTATGTATATGTGTATACGTGCTATTTGTTTCCTTTTTTCGGTCATGCTAGTCCAATAGGCTTTATTGCTGTGGAAAACTGGCAAGTCTGCATTCTTTTAAAGGTTGCCAACTTCAAAGTGAATTGCCCGTAAGCATGTATGTATTGTATTTGTTGCTGTTGTTTTCGTCTATATTATGCAGGCTAAAGTACCAGTAGGGAAATTAGACCTTTTATAAAACAGTGTACTTAAATTCTTGACAACGATTAAAAAATCGGACTTTTTATAGTTTGGTATGAAGTTATTGAACTGTTCCCACTTTTGTAAACTAAATAAAATATGATTTCAGCAAATATTTTTCATAAAACAGCTACAAAATCAATTAGAAAGCCTGCGAATGACTTTTTGCTTGTTTTTCAACTGTTCTCACTTTAAAAAAGTTAGTTATTTATTGCGACTGCTGTTTATTAACAATCTTTCGTAAAAGGTGTATACATTTTAAAAATCGGCGTTTGTGTTTTTTATTAAAAAATGATAAGAGCATTTTGAAATTTATTTAAATGGGTTTTATAGTTGACATATAACATAAATTTCTGCCGGGTCTTGGGTACCCTTCTTGTATTTTCTTGTGCTTCACAAATAATCTTTAATACTTCATCAATTATGTCTTACGAGCTANCGTTTGTGTTTTTTATTAAAAAATGATAAGAGCATTTTGAAATTTATTTAGATGAATAGCTTAAATGGGTTTTATAGTTGACATACATATAACATACATTTCTGTCGGGTCTTGGGTACCCTTCTTGTATTTTCTTGTGCTTCACAAATAATCTTTAATACTTCATCAATTATGTCTTACGAGCTGTGAGGTGCGTATATCCGTATATATAAGCCAGCAATGCTTACGGCAAGTGGCTTGTGGATTTACCTTCGTCAGATCGCATCAACGTCCGCCCGCCTGCCCGCCTGCCCACCTGCTGCTGTGTCACAATCACCGCTGCTAACTCTCCCTCTCACTACTGTTCTTAGGCTTTTATTTCATAGGCTTAGGCTGAGCGCTGTTTTTGCAACCTCAGCAATTTTCGCATTTTTACTTTTATTATCGCACTTTTGCTTGCCACTAACTTGCTGTTATTATTGCTGGCACATACGTACATACAAATATTTACTATATTTTTGGTTTCTCTACACACACATTTCTGTAACCACTTGCACGCAAATTGCGTTCGTTTTCTTTTGCATCGCCGCAACGCGTCAACAATGTGGGCGTGCGTTGCAAACCGGCATTGTTTTTTTGCTGTCGCTCTAACGCAACAAAAGCAGTTAAAATGCTTGCCTTGCCTTGCTTGCCGGGAATACGCAGCAATTGTGGAATTTACAACATTCTTTCCACTTCTTGACTTTATTATACGTAAGTTTTTATATATGTACATCCATGTATGTTTTTTTTTGTAATGCGGTANTACAACATTCTTTCCACTTCTTGACTTTATTATACGTAAGTTTTTATATACATCAATGTATGTTTTTTTAATGCGGTTTTTTCTTTTTTTGTTTACCTTTTGTCTGGGTTACGTGTGGAATTTCGGTTTTGGAACAACGTACTCACTACTCACTGGCATTCTGAGGTCGTTTGTTGAGGCTGTGGCTATTTTGGTTGCTGGTGCTGGTTTATGGCTGCTGTGGTTGGTCGTTATGTCTGTTATGGTCTGTTGCGTCATGGTTTTGGTATGCTGCATGTGCTCGATCGCTTTATCTAGGTAGTTGCGTTAATATTTGTCTATCTTTTTCGGTATTGGAAAATGAAAGTGCGAGCTGTTGCTCTTTTTTTCACAAAACTTATGGTAAACCTTGATTTTATTTAAAAAAATTAACCGCCAAGCAAAATTATGAACTAACTAAGTAGTTTTATGTATTCTAACCAATTCTCTAAAACTGTTCCCACTTTTTATAAACTGTTCTCAAAAAACTTTTTTTATTATTTTCCATAAACAGCAATAACCCTATACATTGTATTAAAAAATGAAGAAATTAATGCGCCTTTGCATATACAAAACTATTCCCAGGCAAGAAATTGCTCNTGTGGTTGGTCGTTATGTCTGTTATGGTCTGTTGCGTCATGGTTTTGGTATGCTGCATGTGCTCGATCGCTTTATCTAGGTAGTTGCGTTAATATTTGTCTATCTTTTTCGATATTGAAAAATGAAAGTGCGAGCTGTTGCTCTTTTTTTAACAAAACTTATGGTAAACCTTGATTTTATTTAAAAAAATTAACCGCCAAGCAAAATTATGAACTAACTAAGTAGTTTTATGAATTCTAACGAATTCTTTAAAACTGTTCCCACTTTTTATAAACTGTTCTCAAAAAAACTTTTTTATTATTTTCCATAAACAGCAATAACCCTATACATTGTATTAAAAAATTAAGAAATTAATGCGCCTCTGCATATACAAAACTATTCCCAGGCAAGAAATTGCTCAGTTGAAATGAAAACCTGTTACTAGATGCTAAAAATAAATCATTTGTCCATTATTTTTTATAATTAAATATGTAACAATTTGCATTTTAGACGCCACATGACACATTCTATGCAGCTCCTCAGTCTTGCAACCTAAACTTTCATAAATACCGGCTGGCAAATACATACATACATGTATTGCCATGTGTGTATGCGTTTCTGCTATCGCATCGACTAGCTGTAATTTAAACTTTTTTATTGCAACTCACAGCAGTCGATGTAACAACAATACAGTAGCCACAGCAGCAGCTATGCTAGCGATGACTATGTCGATGGCATGCCATACAAACAGCCCAGATTACCATGAGTTATTAGCGGCGCAGAGGGTGAAGTTGGGTATGCAAGTGCAGGCAACACGATTCTTGCAGGCAACTGAGCTGCTGCTGTTGTTATTGATAGAGCGCTACTGTTTGTTGATGTTGTTGCGCTGAAAAGTTGCTGACCTTCAGTGTGAGCGGCGCCGCGCG